TCAGATGATATCATCATACTACAGCGAGGACACTGTGCATACTATGCTATTAATGTATGTCTCATCGCTTATAATTGCAACCCTTATACGGTTTCTGATTTTACCAACACCGTCCACTGGATAGAAGAAGAGCACCGTGCTGTCTGCCCAGACTATGACAGTACTGGACCTGGAGTGAGTCCTGTCTACAGCATTCATGGGAAGAAGACTACAACTGCAGCCTGCTTCCCAGAACCACTGCCCGGCCCACACCCACATACTCGCGCATACATCTTGCATCGTCCAGGTCATTTCAGTGCTGTCACCCTTGCGGATAATTCATGGGTCTTATGGGAAAATGGCAGTAGGGTGCACACGGTGGGAAGTATGAACTCTTTCTACAACCAAGCAGCAAATTCTCACTCCATCTGGTTTGTTCGTCAGGAACAGTATGTTCCTTTGCACTTGCAAGTGCAACAGTCTCCGGGGAGCAACCCGACTGAACACCCACCCCCTTCTCCTGCACATGGCCGAGCAGTGTCACCTCCCTGTGTAGACCGAACAGATTCTCCTTCTGGCAATCACCAGACTTCTCCTGAGGATGGTGACTGTGCCCTCCCATTGTGTCGTTGGCATGCACACTGCACAGTCTCTGCACCCAACACTATGAAGGGATGGTCACTGCTAGCCTCTGCCACAGAAACTGCGACTCTTTGTCTTGTATTCTTCTTTCCCACCCCCTAATCCAATATGCCGCCGTGGCCTTGACCTGCCATGTTTCAATAGCTGCACACGTCAGCCAGCGTTCCTACTGCCATGTCACCAGCATGCCATGTGTCATCAATGTTACCAGGAAGCTATCATCAAAAGTTTGTCTCTACTGTGTGGACTATCCACGGTGCCATCATCCGCCACATCCTCTTTCAGCATGTCCCGCATGCCGATTTGGGCACGCACCTACTGCAGCTCCAGTCGGACAAACCTTCCTCTTCCTTGCCCGGCAAACGACAAACCCAGCAACCTGAGGAGGAAAATAGAGTCCCATTTAAACCGCATGCAGTGCACGGTACAGGAGGGCTTACACCACCAGGGCAAACTATTGCCGACCAAATCCAGCAGCACTCGATGCCCTTGCTTTGGCTGATCCCCTCCCACCACCACCGTCATCATCTGCCCATTGAGAAAGACTCAATAACGAGGGAACCCACGACGGCTGCTCAATGCTGCTCCGCGATGATCCACCTGAGATCCGGTTAACATGTGGGTTGCATGCATTGTGTCGTGAGGATTATGAAGGCACAGCTCGTGCGAGTTTTTGTTTTCATACGTATGATGATGTCAATGTTGTACTCATGTACACCACCCTGACCCTGACATGTCCTGTCCAATTTGTAGACAGGGAATCGAACGGCAATGCCTCTACAATTGCGGCCGGCGTGCCTCTGTGTTCCTAGCATGTGGGAGCCATGTGGACTGTGACATCTGCCTACGCCGAGCCATTCGCTGCAGCAACTGCGACTGCGAGACTTGGATGTGATGCTTCCACAGTCCACACCCGAACCAGCGCTGTCCACTCTGTAGGGGTGGCCCCTTACCATAGCCCATGGGTACTCCCCAAAACAAATCTCCAACAGCCTGAATACTGACTGACCTCTCATGTCATACTAAGAATGGTCCGCTCCATTGCGTTCTCTCTCTCTCTCTCTCTGTTACATCTTCGACTCCCACGGGTCCTACCGGACCCGACTTAGGGCCGGAGGGACACACCAGGGCCTAAAGGCCCGACCTTTTGGGGTTACAGGCCCTAAAGGCCTGATTTTGGACCAGCACCCATCGGGTAGGCCCAAACGACACTTCGTTTGGGCCTGGCGGCGCTCTTGAAGCTGCCGCCCGCCGATTGAGGGTGAACCGTCCATCTGGACGGTCCAGGGTCTGGCCTGGCCTCGCAGCATTGAGGCCAGACCATTGCCTACCGGTATAAGTACCGGTATCCTGCCTCAGTTGGGGATCGGCCTACCGGAACTCTACCGGCACGGCATGGTCAGTACCAGCGTACTGTTTGATGCGCTAAACTTAGCGCAGGGGCTGAAGCAGGAGCGCAGCATAGCGCAGCTTAGCGCAGCAGCGAGCGGAGCAGCAGCAGGGCGACTGAGCCAGCACGGCGGCCATTGCCGCCTGAGGTACCGGGAGCTTGGAGGGTCTCTCCTCCTCTCCCTCGCCAATCCTCTCTCTCTCTCTCCTCTTCCTCCTCCTTCTTTTTCTTCTTCTTCTTCTTCTACAGATTGGAGACTATCCAGTTGGACAGAGATCAGGGTTGGATTTCGGTGATACGAGACTGTGGTACTTACCTGATTGGAGACTTGGAAATTGTTGAGGTTGATACTCGGCTGCATCACAGTTGGACACCGGTTACATCTGGACTCGGTTATCTCCGACATTGGTGACCTTTGGTCCTCGACATTTTGATCTTGTTATATGACATTCTGGACTACCATTTCGGAGACCTACCAGACTCTATCTAGTGACCTATCGGTGTGATCTACCTCCTACCTCCTTCGTCTCTCCTCCCACCTTTCATCTGTATATGTGTGTACGGGATCTGGGTATCGTCTGTGAATGACCCAGACCCCACCATCTCATGATTGTATGTGTGTGGAGTGATGCCATGTAGGTCAGTCTATGTGAGTCAGTTCGTTATCAGACTTCCGCTGCATAAATGCTCATCCTATATTGGTTGATCTTTGGTTCTGCCCATACTCATTGAAGTATGTAACACTCTCTCTCTCTCTCTCTCCCCCCCCCTCTCTCCTTTTTTTAACCCCATTTCCTCTCCCTCCCCTTGTGTACTCCCTCTCTTTGTGTACTACTCAAACGCATATGAATGAGCGTCACTAAGAGAACAGACAAAATACAAATCACCCCTTTTACTCTGCCTCCTTTCATAACGTGCAAGTGGGCCATTAAGGCACATGAGGATGTGGGCAGCTGATGCTTAACCATCACCAACGTGACCAGCCTTGTACGTGAGAGGCACAGTAATAGGGGTGTGTAAGAACAAATAAACTGGGAGACCTTCCAACGATAATAATGGTGAATATAGTCAAGAAAATGACATAATTGATCTATTGTCTATCATATTGCTAACTGTCTCATTGTTGGGTAACCCCCTTTCGAGTATATTGCATAAACATCAGGTTCCTATGCCGTTGGATCTACTCATGTAGGCATTGCCTGCCTCCTTTCATAACGTGCAAGTGGGCCGTTAAGGCACATGGGGATGTGGGCAGCTGGCGCTTAACCATCACCAACGTGGCCAGCCTTGTACGTGAAAGGCACAATAAGAGGGGTGTGTAAGAACAAAAAAACTGGGAGACCTCCCAACGATAATAATTGTGAATATAGTCAAGAAAAATGACATAATTGATCTATTGTCTATCATATTGCTGTCTCATTGAGGGTAACCCCCTCTCAAGTATTCTGCATTGCTTGCATAAACCTGAGGTTCCTATGATGTTGGATCTACTCATGTAGGCATTGCCTGCATAAAGGTAATGTCTCTATTGTGCCTCATGTTGCTAACTATGGGGGCAACACTGTTTCCTTGCTGGATTGATTCATCTCAAGCATGCTTCATCTTCTACAATAGAGGTAAAGTTGCTGCGATTTGGATCTACTCATCTGGGTGGAACAGGGGATGTTGCGGTGAACATTCACAACACACACACGTACACACACAAACACACAGGCACACACACACACGAACACACACACACACACACACACACACACACACACACACACACACACACACGCGCGCGCATACACAAACAAACAGATAGAACCATTTCACATGGGGCAAGTGCACACAACTTTTGGCTGCAAGAACTCGTCACTCAGAAAAGTAAGAGAAGACCTCCACCCTTTCAACCAAGGGAGACAGTTGCAGGTATGACACTATTCACAGAATTTCAGAGCGCCATTCGCTGCTCCGGTAACCACCCATATTACTTCCTCCACCCACAACTAATCAGGATGAGAACGCCAACAGCAGATTGCAAATGATGACCACCAGTAGAGATGTTTACTTTGGTATAAGAAATCTCCCTCAAAGGCCTAGCCATTTTTTCTTGTGTGCCCCTTTTACACAAATTTGAAATTTGCCAGATTCCAGAAAGAAATTGGCCGCACATGCAACGAGTGGTGCAGAGTTGCGAGGTAGAGAACCCACTGATCAACGTTTCAAAATTAAAATGCATGGTGAGGTCTACGACGAGGTGAAGCAGACAATATTACAGCTCACCGCTGGTCAGGTCAACTTGTCATTTGACCGTCCCCCACCTACAAGTGCCCGGGAACCTCTTTCTCAGCAGACCTCTAAGGGTTCACCTCAAATGGAAAACTTTTCTTGTAGGCCTTCATGTATCGTTGCTGAACTGACAAAGCTCAGGTAATTGAAAGATATTCCATCCATCTCATTCCAGCAGGATTTGAAGTCGCGGGTTCAAATCCCGTTTTTCCCGGGAGGTATGGCTGAGTGGCTGATGGCATTGGTTTGCTAAATCGACATACAACAAGATTGTATCATGGGTTCAAATCCCATTTCCTCCGTTCCATCCGGGGTGTAGTTCAAGTGGTAGAACGCATGTTTTGCAAGTACGAAGTTACATCTATTTATCAACATTTCGTAGGTGTAATATGCAGCCCCATCTTGTGGGATGCTGTTGCTCAAGGGATACAAATCTTCAGGCTACCTATAGTTTGCAACCATGACTTCTAAAAGAGCCTAAGAGCCTAGAAGGGATGCAACATTGCTGCGCTCCAAAGAGCACCCAGTGGCATTAAATACATGCCCTAGCAGCTGGGGAACGTGAGGCTGAGGTCGTCAATGCATGGGAGCAAATGAGACATTTGCTAATTTTGACCGCTAGCGTGTATTCCAACGCACGACAATAAGAGCTGAGATTGTGTTCAACACCACATTACACATTCACATCAGTACGAAGTAAACTACAAACACTTACATTCCTCAAACTCTGCCTGAGCTCGATTCCCCTCCTCGCTACACTCTCGAAACTCATCTGCCATTCTCTTGGCCTGCATAAATTGAGATGATGAGGAAAAAAATCATGGCTATAAGTCAACCGTGCCATTAACCCCAGATTCATTGAGGAAGTGACATCCAAAAGCAAGTCTGCCTCATTAATGTCTCCAGTGGTGTAGTGCCCTGTCATCTGTAGTTCCCCTTCTTCGGACAGCTGCATGTGACATCTAACAGGCTCTTTACTGCCAACTGCTCATTCAGTCGTCACACACTTTTCTCAACTGTGTCTCCAATCAACTGTACATAGCTGGCTGCCTGTTCATCTTTCATCACCTCTCTCTCTCTCTCTCTCTCTCTCTCTCTCTCTCTCTCTCTCTCTCTCTCTCTCTCTCTCTCNTCTTCGGACAGCTGCATGTGACATCTAACAGGCTCTTTACTGCCAACTGCTCATTCAGTCGTCACACACTTTTCTCAACTGTGTCTCCAATCAACGGAACATATCTTGCTTCCTTTTTATCTTTCACCACCTCTCTCTCTCTCTCGCCCTCTCTCTCTCTCTCTCTCTCTCTCTCTCTCTCTCTCTCTCTCTCTCTCTCTCTCTCTCTCTCTCTCTCTCTCTCTTCCCCCCTCCTCCCCCATTCAGAGATGGGCCGGGCAAATTTTTTTTCGGGCCCGCGCTCCACAGCTCAAAAAGAAAAGAGAAAGAGAAATTTTGTGAGGGTGCACACCCCGACGGTCGGCGCCCCTGAACTGGTTGGCTGCCGACCAGCCGACCGGTTAGTTGGTCGGCACCTAACAGTCTAATTGTTTGTTTGTTTTTTTGCAGGAGTCAATGGCCTCCATAACCACCAATAACCACACCAACAACCCGATACCTCCCCGCAACACCCCCCCACACACCCCCAACACCCCAAAACAGCTCTCCAACACCCTCATACCCCTCCAAATACCCCCTATACCACCCCTAAGCCCCCCCATACCCCCCCCCTTAACCACCCCACACCCACCCCCATCCCCAAAAGTTTCTCAGTGGATTTGGGCTGGACTCAGGAAGCACAGTGCAGGCCCTAACTCAGATTTGAAAAAGAATCAGTGGGTGGGTGTTGTCTGACTGGTCGGCAGACCAGCTGACCAGTCGGCCATACTGGTCAGCTGCAGAACGGTCAGCAGTCAGGGTCGGCGGTCGGTGGGTATGCAACCCTGTCGTGATGCCAAAACCGTAGAAAGATACACCCGCTGTTTTGCTGTCCTTCAAGTCGGGTACAGTCATTATGAGGGTTCGTTCTGGGGCTTTGCAACTTTTATCTGGCACAGAACCCCTGCCAAGTTGGATTGCATCCGTCAGGTACGGGCGTGACCCCATCACCTACCAAATATGGAAAATGAATCTTCAGCTAGAACATGGAAAGGTACACCTCCATCAGTTTTGTCTGTGGGTCTTCTGTCAGAGTCACAATGGACCGAGGTGAAGATTCTGACAGATGCTAGCCTACAGACAAAACCAATGGAGGTGTATCTTTCCTTGTTCTAGCTGAAGATTGATTTTCCATACTTGGTGTTCCAGGAAGCCGTTGAAATGGTACGTTACTATGTTGGGCATTATATGTGCTCAGAAACCGTGAGATTAGGGGCGGCTCTCCACCACCCACTAAATGTGCAGAATGCGAAGGAATCTTCTGCTAGAACATGGAAAAGATGCACGGCTACAGTTTTTTGTCTTCTGTTGCATGAGGTGCGTGCTGGAGGGAGGCGTTGAATATGTCAGGACTAGGGCCTCGCCCCACTACTCCCCACATGCACGAAAGATTCATTCTCATTTTGCGCATTTGATGAGTAGAGGCACAAGGACATTAGGCGGCCCTGTGCCTAAAATGAGAGTTGAATTTAGAGTTAAAAAAAAAAGGTGGTTCTGTTCCCAAGCGGACCGGTCAGTTCAATGACGATATCTCAAGGCCACTTCAAGAATCTCACAGTGGTGAAGTGGCCGTTGCACGTGTCTTTGGAGTCAGAGAACTTCAGACAGATGTATAAACACAACCTTTCAGGGGTTGATACAGTTGAACTCTTCTTTTCTTCTTCGTTTTGTTTGCCAAGTGTTTCAAGCTCTTTCGGCACTTTCTTCTGTGGCCTGTTGTTTGTTTTCTCCCTCCCTCTCTCTCTCTCACACACACAAAAAAAAACAAGGCACCCTGCGCATGGGAAAGCAGTCATCACTGACATAATCACTGATGAATTAGAAGCCACAAAAGAATCTCATGTACTTCCTCGAGCAATGGGCATGCAAACATTCAAACAGGAGCTATACTCTGCAAAGTGGGCATCATGGCAGCAGTGTGGAGAACGCACAAGATACTCCAGCTCTGCCACACGCAAACTACTTGCTGTGGATGCCTTCACAGCTTGCATCATTTCCATCTCGAGTGCCTGCAAACCAAAAACCACAACAAGTCCCACAAAATTGGGGGTCAAAAGAGTTTGCTCCTGCTGGCCGGACTGCAAATCCATATGAGCACATGCTTCCCACATGGCATCATCTGGGACCCTCCTACAGGGCATAGCCCTTAGCACTTAGCCACCTGAGCTGGGTATGATTCCCCGACTAGCCGCCGTAATGAAGAGTTTGCTCCTGCTGGCCGGACTGCAAATCCATATAAGCAAATAGCGGGTCTTGTCTGACGCTCCTGTGAGGGCCGTCTGCCCTGTGTTGGGAAAAAGCGGGCACAAAGCATGGGCCCATAGAAAACCAGTGCCGCGCGTCATTTCGGGTTGGCAATGTATCTGTGCACGTTCTAGTGGAGAATTTCAGCACCATTTTGAGTGGTGGAGTGTGCTCCTTTGTGTCGATTGACAAGTGTCATCCTCCTTTTTTTTTCTTCAATGGATTGCTCCTCAGAGCCGTACAATCAATCACACTTAAACTTACGGCGATTGCTCGCCACCATAGCTCCCCAACAACCATACCTATGACCTTCATCCTCATCGCCACCACCACCTCCATGGTGATCATCTTCCATTCAGCAAGGAAGCGTTCACCGGCATAACTCCGTATAACAACGATTCATATGACCGTCCTCCCCAAGAGCACCATTATCACCATAACCACCACCATCGCCATCCACGGGGCAACTAGGAACTCTGACAGCCATTGCCAGCCTAATGTCCAATCAACCATACCCACCACCCACCAGCATCGCCATGACGATCATCATTACCATATACAGTTCTATCGGTAGTGACAGTGCTGTCTATAAGTGGCCTTCAATTTGCTATCCTTCCCTATCTTAGGGCCTCGCTCCACTACTATCCTTCCCTATCTTAGGGCCTCGCTCCACTACTCTCGACATGCACAAAAGACAAAATATGGCAATATATCCTTCCAGGTTTTAGCGGACGATTCGCTCTCATTTTCCACATTTCGAGAGCAGTGGAGCAACGCCCTTAGTTATGGGGGCAGAGTGAATCCTCCATTAGAACATGACATTGCCATATTTTTTGTCGTTTGTGCATGTGGAGAGTAATGTAGAGAGGCCCATGGTAACACCCCTAGCCTTGCTGCGCGCGACATGCAGGAGGAGCACACAATAGAGGAGGGGTAGGTGCCCAAAGAGGAGGCGGATGCAGGAGCGGGACAGAGAGGAGGTGGTAGACAACAGCAAGGGGCAAGGTGGGAGGAGAAGGGCCAGGTCTCCACCACAGTGGGCGTCCAGTTGTTTTTTTTTCTTTCCCTAATGCCAGCTTCTTAGATTGCCCCTCCAAAGAATTGAACTGGTGCTCTCGGGCCCCACTGCCAGACGCCTTAACCACTGCAAGCGTGACATGGTGTTCAAAAGTGATATCCAGTGTATCCGCCCCACTCCCACAAAACCGTGACGCGATGCTCAAAAGTGATATCCACACCACCCACGCCTCGAGGATCACCCACCAACAGCAACTATTCCACCCCCAAAATTTTGATGCAATAACTAGAAATGTACAACATCATAGACAAGGTCCCCCACATCCATGTAGTTGAGCAGTGGGTGTGTGTGAGACTGGATTGANCCCACATCCATGTAGTTGAGCAGTGGGTGTGTGTGAGACTGGATTGAAGGATGAGACTGACTTGGCATTCTGCGGATGTGATTTCACATCAGCCCATTCTCAACAGGGATAACCTATCAGCTTCCCTATGTTGCACCTCTGCGGAGGTGTGGTATGCATGACAAAAGTTCAAAAAGTGAGGTATGCAAGATGTTCCCTGCTGAGCATCACCACATGGCTAGGAGAGGAAGAGTTGGACAAGAGGAGGATGTGCTCGGAGACACATGACCGGCCAGTGTGGCTATGGAACTGCAATGCTCCCGTTTGCACTAGTGGCAAGCACAGGTAGCCAATGTTCCATGTTGGCACCAAGTTTGGGCAAAGTCGGCGACCTCCAGTGTAAACTTGGCTGCATTGTTGGGTGGCCGATACCAGTGCTTAGGACCTCCTCTGGTGCTTCCACAGCCACACAGCGTACGCCATGCATGAGCAGTTTGAGGGTTGCCCCACATGCAACAAATGCCATGGCTATGCTCACTGTGGCGTATGCCCAGTAATGCAACACTAAATCAATAGACAAACAGGGTAGATGGCAGAGCATATTGACAGACCTGTCAGCAACAGGGCTGTGATCTGCACATACCAAAAGGTGAAAGTACTAAGAACAAATCAAGCATCTTCACCAAATCAAGCATCTCACTAACACAATCCGAGGAAGAGTGCTGTACTCGGGTTCGCCAATTCTTGTTGTAACGATCACTGCATTTTGGAAGCAAAAAAACTTTCCCACATAGCGAGTCTCTTCACAACAAAAATCACTGAGTCGAAGTTCATGTGCAAGGAACCTGACTGTTCATAGCTCGCTGGAGTGTATCTCATTGCATGCATAAATGTCATCATACAGATAGAGAAACTTCACACGTAGCCAAATCGAGGTGAGATGAGAACCAGATAGCGCAGCTCATATTATCACAACAACATTATACAAAGAGTATCTCGAGTCCAAGAGTTCAGCGCCAACAGAGTACAAGTCTCCTTTGTTCCATACTCAATATAGGGCCTGGCTCAGCCAGCGTCTGCCCTCAGATCACAGGTATGGCGCCAACAGGTTAGCATCCTCCATATCCAACTCCTTAACCTGTCTTCTCTCTCTCTCCCTCACGAGATCCCTGTCAATGAGATGGTTTGTTTTTTAAAATTCGGTTATATCTTATATTTTGTTTGATGGTTGACTTGCAATTTTGTTGAATAGAAATAAGATCACCACTGGAAACTTGAAAGCTAGGCCGAAGGATAATTTGATTATTAACACAAACATTTTTATGACTTAGCATTTATTTTCTCTATTTAAGGCATAATGTAAAATTTGCATATCTCTATAATAAATTATTATTCTATTTAATTAGAGATATTATATATTATTTATTTCATAGAATAGAATCAGATTTATTCCATTACAATCAGTACATTCGATAATGGGACGAAAAAAAGAATACTATCCCAACCGAGGTGAACAAGCTATTCAACAACAAGATATTGAAAGCTCTAAAGCATGGTTCAATCAAGCTGCCGAATACTGGAAACAAGCTATTCAATTAGCTCCTGGTAATTACATTGAAGCACAAAATTGGTTACCAGGAGGGGCATAAGATTCCCTTCTACATCGTATATTAAATATAAAAGATTATCCAAATCTTTAATCTCTTCTTGAAAACAACATCTGCTAAGATTACATCAGAATTAGATTCCATTGAAGCTCAATCCACAAAATTCTGCAAGTCTTCTTGTAAAATACTAGAAGTACATGTAGGAGTTAATAGAATTAAATCAGGTTTTTCCTCTTTATCTTTCCTAGTTATATTTTCTACTACTTTTTGTCCCATTAGTTGTGTAGCTTGGTTATATCAAAAATTTGAAGATAGTTTTTTCCTAGTAGTAGGCACTAAAACATGTGGATACTTTTTGCAAAATGCACTTGGAGAAGGGTTTCTGCGTTCAGTCAATCTACGCAGAGTGAATCGGTCCCCAAGGAAACCCCGAAAGGCGGCACCGATGGGTACTAGAAAGTGACGAAATTTGAATTAAGCTAGCGCTACTGAACAAAACAAAATTGGATGATTGGACAGGGCCTCAATTTCCGGGAAACAACTTCTAGAGGTTCTTGTAATTTCACGGAAATCATCATAGCGCAAAAACAGATATTGTCTCACTCTGCATGCTCACTCCCTACTTATGAGGATCTACTCTGAATGCTACTCACTGATGTCTTCAACTAACCCCTCTACTTCTACTAATAATGCTGGCGCAGCTTTGGCTGCTTCTGCCAGTCAGCGCCCAGCCTCTTCTTCCTCTGCTTGCGCAGCTTCCAGCCAGCGCATTCTCCCTGCATGCTAGCGCACAAGTGCTTCAGCACTTCCACGCATCAATGCCAGTGGAGATCTGTCGTGTGGGGAGGTTGGCCTAGTCTCTTATAGTGCTGGCCTCCCTTCGCGAGGTCTGAATCAATCTTCCTTGGGTCTTTCCCCAGTCCCAGACCACTGCAGAATATGTGTCCCAGTACCTTTCCTTCAGGGTCTGCTGCTGCTGCAGCCTTTAGGCCAGAATTTTGGACTTTGGGTCTGAATCTGGACTGCCTATTGGACTTCGACTTAGACTAGGACTCTACCTCACTGACTTCCATTCGAACAGACTCAACTTCGGCACGAACAGACATGACTTGCACAGGCCCCTGGACGAACAGACGTGACTCTCACAATTGAATGCTGCAACTGTTCGTCCTGGGGCACGACTGTGACCTTTGACACAACTCCTCACTTCAGTTAGGATGTGACTTTTGACCCAGAGAACATGTCTTTTGATCTGCTTTTCACGAATTGAGTTCTGGCCGAGTGGGCCCCATTATGCTGCGTTCGTCATTCAGGGTCTGAACAGGTAAAGGCCCTTTTACATGCCCAGTTCTGAGAGAGTACGGCAAAAGCTCATCCAAAGGCAGAAAGAGAGCTTGTGGAGGAAAAGCAGTCTCTATGATCACAAAACCTTGGCGTGCATGTGCAGCATGACAATGCTCACTTCGAGACATGGCCTACTGCATCAAGAAGGCAGGTCTCCAAGGAGAGGAAAGAAATCTTACTTCAATTGGTTCAAAACAGCACAGACAAGGCTGCATGCATCCAACAACAAACATAAACAAACAAAATCAACTTCACTAGAAGCTACCTGCCGGGGAATGATACTGTACATACCACAAGATCCATAGCATGATTAACCTTCTGCCTGATTGCATCCTTAATCTCGTTCCTTGCCCTTTGCTCCTGGACAGCTGCAAAGTCATCCTTTCTCATGCCATCTAATTTCTGCTTCTTCTGCTCTGTGTTCAGAGAGCCGGTGACAAAAATAGTCATGTCCACTTCATTAGAAGGTTCTCGTCGCCTAAAAGGACAAGTTGATAACATCCTGCAGGAATAAATTTTCAGGCAACAATAAAATTCCTTCCGAACTGTACGAGGACAAAAACTGACAACTGACAGACAAAGAAAATGTAACAAGCATCCATGCAAACGCATGACCATACATTTAACAAGAACAGAGAATAAAACAAATTCACCTCCAGATGACTCGATGACTACTCCAAGGCTGGTATTGACAACCGCTGGCCGCCGTTGTTAAATCTCATCATCACTACCTTTCCCGCTCTTGGGAAAAAGGGACAATGTCCTCCTACTAAAAAATCGGAGGCCAGGCCTGACAACGGCCACCGTTGGTAAATCGGATTGCGGCCGTTGTTTCATTTCGGCCTCCTCAAGATTCGGCGGCCCGACGGTGGAAAATCAAGTGATTTGCACGTCAGTATTGCTGCAAGCTTCCACCAGAGTTCCCTCTGGCCTCACCCTGCTCAGGCATAGCTCACCACCCTTCACGTCCCAACAGACATGCTCACACTCGAACCTCTCACAGCAGATTGTGCTTGGCGGAGGGTGCACTGCAGAGGGTTCCCGCCACTCAGGTTTCTTCCGCCTTGTGGGGTAAGCACCTACCGGCTTGCACACATGCTGAATACCTACCGTCTTCCCCCGAACATAACGCATATGTGTTGTATTCGATTTTTCCAAAAACAACGATTTTTGGAAAGTTAGACCCTTTTCTTCGAATACAAGGGCACTTTGAATATAACGCATATGCGTTTTATTCGAATAAAACGCATACGCGTTATATTTGAATTTCATGAAGAGAAAATTGTTTGTATTCGAATCTAAACTTTTTTCGCCCCCCTCTCTCTCTCTCCGTGTGTGTTACAATGAGTAGATCCAAAGTCATAGCAACTTTACCTATATTGCAGACAATGACGCATGCTCGAGATGAGCAAATCCACCAATGAGACAGTTTTGCTTGTGAAGTCAATATCTATTCAGAACCTTACCTTTAATCAGACAAGGAATCTCACCTTTACACAAGCAATGCAACACACTCGAGATGGGCCATCCCAACAGCAAAAAGAATACGAGACAGTACATTTGTTAGTATGTTACATCGTTTTCTTGATTATTTTTTCATCAGCCAGCATTGGGAGGCCTCCCATGTTCTTTGTTTTTGCAGTTACCCTCTTACTGTGCCTATCACGTACAAGGCTGGCCACGTTGATGATGATTGAGCGCCAGCTGCCCATATCCCACGTTATAAAAGGAGGCAGAGTAAAAGGGTTATATTTTGTCTGTTCTCTCAACGACGCTCATTCATATGCGTTTACTAGTAGTACACAAGGAGAGAGAGAGAGAGAGAGAGAGAGAGAGAGAGAGAGAGAGAGAGAGAG